CCCTTTTCCTTCATGGCCTCACGACAACCTGGCGAGGGAGGCCGGGCTGAGGAAAGGGAGGAAAGCGCGCGTGCTTTTGTGTGTGTGTGTGTGAGACACAAGGATGAAGGATTGGGGAGGTGGGGGAGGAAGGTATAGGCGGTGCAAAAGGCCCTTGAAAGGCTCTTCCCCCCCCTTCCGCGCGGGTTTACCCCATTTGGCCCTCCAGAAGAGGTTGGACTCCAGCTCCCATCGTCCACTGCCGTCGGCTGCGCCTGATGGGAGTTGTAAGCCCCAGACACACACCTCGTGGAGTTCCTCCTCTTTGGGAGGCTCCTGGGCTTCCCCTTTTTCCTCGCTGTTGGAGGGCTAGTCATAGTCGCCCCCCCCCCCAAATCCTTGGGAAGGCTGGTGGCCTCAAAGAAAAAGGGGATATGGGGGGAATGAAGGGCAGCCCTGCCAATATTGCTTGATGATGGTGGTGGTAGTAGACCCAAAAATGGCGCATTGGAAAGCAGGGATGGTGGGGGGGCTGCCTGCCCTGTGTTTTGTTTCCTCCTCCCAAGATCCTTTCTTAGCCACATGGCTTGCTTACTTACAGGATAAAGATGTGTGCCGCTCTTCTGTACAATAAAGCCATTAAAAAATGCACAAGCATCTTCTTCCTGGAGAGCAGCCACCCAGGCAGCAGGAGGGCGGCTGGGCTGTACAATAAAGCCATTTTAAAAAATGCACAAGCATCTTCTTCCTGGAGAGCAGCCACCCAGGCAGCAGGAGGGCGGCTGGGCTCTTGTCGAGCCTTGCTGGGCATTTAAAACACTCTATCGCAGGCCGGTGGTTTCCAGGCCCTGGGCTGGAAATGGCCCACGAGGCGGCTGGAGGTGATCTCGGCCCCCTTCTCTTTGTTTCCCCTACGGTGGTGTGAGTGCAGGACATTTTGCAAGCAATTTTAATAAATTATTAGAAACAGAAGCACTTTAACGCCCTTTGATATGTAACTTAATTTTCTTTCAACCCTAGGCTGCATTAAAATTATCCTCCTTATGGGGTTATCTGCAAAAATACTATTAAAAGTGTGTATTATTAAATATCCTCCTTATGGGGCAATCTGCAAAAAGAAAAAAAGGTGGATGATGAAGCAGGAGCCTTCCAAAGTGGGAAGGCTAGGTACCTCTGTCATAAGAGTGTCTTTCATTTCTCACAACACCCCTGTAAGGTAGGCCACTATTATGCCCCTACTGCAATGTAGCAGGAGGCGTGAGCGTAAGAACCTAAGAAGAGCTGGATCAGGCCAAGGGCCCCTCTAGTCCAGCTTCCTGGATCTCCCAATGGGCCCCACCAGATGCCTCTGGGAGCATATGCCACATTGGGTCCGGAGTGGGGTGGACACTTGCTAGTTCCCAATTCCCACTTTCTCTTGAAATGCACTGTTTTTCTCCTATTGCTCTCTGAGTTTAAGGTATTCTTACCAATAGCGTGGAACCTTTCATGTCTTTTGACATTGTTTGCGTGATTTCTCGATTTGTGTTCCTCCCATTGTGCTTGTTTGAGCCATCAGAAGAAGTAACCATAGTACATATTTGTAATATACTGTATACTGTTTGTTTGAAATTTAACTTGGGTTCTTCTCTCCAACCTAGCTAGGTGTGTGCGTGGGGAAACAGGGGCATGGGGGGGGGCGCGGGATGGTGGTCCATGATGTTTTGACTCCCAAAAGCAGAAAAATGCAAGCTGTCTGCCTGAACAAGGGCTCCCTTGTACCTTTTGGGTTCTTCTCTCCAACCTAGCTAGGTGTGTACGTGGGGAAACGGGCATGGGGGGGGCACAGGGTGGTGGTCCATGATGTTTTGACTCCCAAAAGCAGAAAAATGCAAGCTGTCTGCCTGAACAAGGGCTCCCTTGTACCTTTTGCCTGATCTCTTCCCTTCCTCCTTCAGCTGCTCACTTTGTGATAAGAAAAACCCTTTGCCAGGGCTCCCCCATATGTACAGCACAGTGTGTTGCGGTTTTATAACAATTTTGTTCCTCCATCTCATCAGGCCCGGGCCAGGAAGACAACATTCAGCCCTTTGGCCTGTTCTGTGTCATAGCAAGTACCATCTTCTTCTCCACCACTCACTCTTTGCCCCAGGTGTGGAGGTGGTCTAAACCATTGGTACTCTGTGCTTTGCTTACACCTTCCTTTCCTTTCTGCAACCCCAAACAGTCAACGCCAGAGTTTCTATATTTCTTTTCCTGTGAGCAAGACATGCAAGATCCTTGACGTGCATTTATGGCTGTAGGTCTGTCGATTTCAGGCAAGATTTGTTTTCTGCTGCTAGTTAGCTCAGTGCTAAGGATCATCCTTATGAAGTGTCAAAATAGCACATGTTTATGCCGGGTGGCCCAAGGCGCTTAAATAGCACATGTTTATGCCGGGTGGCCCAGGGTGCTTTCTTGCATGCAGTTGTTTCTCTTCTCTGAAAAGGATGGAGTTCTTCGTACAAGCGTACAGTACACAGTGTGCAGGCAGGCATTGTTCCTGCAAAGTCCCTGTACTCTAGTTAACACCCACTTTTACAAAAACACTGCTGGAGTATGTGTGGAAACAGTAAAATGTTAAGCAACCCAGCAAAGTACTAGGATCTGTTTCCCTTCAATTTTAGATAAATAGGCTGATAGACTAATTTTTCCATTCAATTCCATTTTTAAAAGCGCTCCATGTCTTGAAAAGGCTCCCATGCTTCTCTTTTTCCAGTGCACAAAGTGTTTTAAAAAGTAGCTTTCCATATCATTTAACCAGACAAAGAGTATGCATGTGGGGGACCCTTTCTCAACTCCTAATCTGCTTTTGAGCAGGGCAGGTTGAAAGCAGATACAGTACCTTGTTTCCAAGGTGAGGAGGAGCCAAGGAGGATATTTTCTTCAGGTATTGAATATATGTATATACATTAGACCCACAAGAGTTGGAAGGACCTGCTTGATGTCCAGGGCATCCCTGGGAGATGGCTGTCTGGCTTCAGCTGGAAGATCTCCAGTGTGGGTGAGTGCTTGATGTCCAGGGCATCCCTGGGAGATCTCCAGCGTGGGTGAAGCCATCCCTCTTCTAGGTCACTGGTTCCATTGCTGAACTGTTCTTAGTGTTAGGATAATGTTCTGGTGTTTCCAACCTCTTGCAGGTTTTCAGTCCATTAGGCTTAGCCTTGCTCTCTTAGTCAGCACTAAGCATCTCCCTTCCTTCTTGTGGCAGCCCTTCAGGTATTTAAACAGTCCGTTGATATCGTCTCCCTCTGCTTTTTCTCTCTTAGGCTGTATACTCAGTTCTTTTGGTTCCTCGTCATGTTTGCATTTTATCTTGTTGGCCCTCTTGGTTGCCTTCCGTTAAATGTCTAATCCGTGGTACCAGAACTGGACACAGTACTCCAGCGAGGTCTGACTGGTGTAGCATAAAGTGGAAAGGTTACCTTGTAGGACTTGGAGAGAGTAGCTAACATTGAGCCTTTTGTGGGTGGGTGTTGAGATGGGCTACGGCTGTCCCTGCTGACTCATGTTCAGCTTGTGATCAGCTACAATCCTGCTGTCCTTTGATAGGTATAGTATTGTCACCTTGATTGGCCTCTGGAGAAAGTAGCAAGCCAACAAAGGAATTGAGGCTCAGAAACTAAATTGAAACTCCCTGCTGCTGTAGAGAGATGGTTCTTGTTGCTAGAAAGCGCAGCTTTCCCGAATTCTTTCTTGCAATATTTCTTTGATGGCACGTCATGTGCTCAATTCATTTCTTGCATGCTGTGAGTTCCATACAAAGGCAGAAACATCTGTATCCCTCACATACATAATATTGAAGGTATATTCTTGGCACTGTGAATATCTGTGTGTGGACCTTCAGGTCGTAAGAAGAAGGCGTGGTGAGAGGATCTTGACAAACATGAATGACTGCCAAGCCTGGGAACCGGACGACTCCAGCTTTTTCAGGCCCTCATTTCTCTATTTCTGTATTTGAGTTTCTAAGGGCAACATTTCTTCTTGTTCCTTTCCAGGGCTAACTGAACTGTGCTAAATAGAGACATGTATTATTTGTTCACAGGGATGCAGAAGATGCAGTTTATGGGAGGAACGGTTATGATTATGGCCAGTGCCGTCTGCGTGTTGAGTTTCCCAAGCCTTCCAGAGGTCGGGGCGGAGGCTTTGGTGGGGGGCCACGTGGGAGAAATGGCCCTCCTTCCCGACGTTCTGAATTCCGAGTCCTTGTTTCAGGTATGTTGTGTTCTGTCCTCCATACTGACTAGGATCCATCCTGATGTCATGCCTCACTTGCAGTTGTTGGGGAAAGGGCACATTTCGCTGCCCTAATAGAAGGTTCCTTCTTTAATATGAGCCCTTTGCCTGTGAAGGAGCTTTTTCAGAACTGCGAGAGGACCTCAAAGACGTTTCTGGTGAGATTCACGGAGGACGTTGCTTTGCTTATGGAGTTCATCGTGGTGAATGAGTGGTGAGAGCGCAAATATCTCCACGGGTAGGCAGGTGTGAATTCGATGGACTTAAAAATGGGCAACCATGTGGGTGGAAAAAGGGGCAAGGAAGAAGAACTTGGGATTGTTTTTGTAGTGCGCAGGGCCAGGAGGTAACTTCACATAAGCTGAAGTTAAAAGCAAATGATGCTGCAGGACAAGTGAGTCTCTGAAAGGCGACAGATGGCTAGCAATGCAGCAGCTTCACACTGCACTTTTGGGAGGAAAGTAACGTGAATTAGACCTCTCGTTTGATATAGCCTTGTGGATTCCTTGAAACAACCTTGAAATACCTGGAATAGATACCTTGTTTAGTGTGTTGGGAGAGACGGGTGGAAAAAAAAATCCTCTTACTGGAGAGAAATGGAAAGACTTTGGAGGTTTTGCCATGGTGATCAAATCTCTGGAGAGAACACAGCGCTCCTGGACCCGATGTATATGGAACGGTCCACTTAAAACCGGGTTGATTCCCAGACAGTTCTTAGATAAAACACTGTGCTCCCCTGCGTGCTGCGGTGGCACCATCGTAGCAATGTCCTTGTTCACTGGGAGGAAACCACTGAATGAATGGCAGTCTCATCAGCTCTGGATCAGGACCTGGATACCTAAGTGTTGAACTCCAGGTGTACAAGCTCCCTTGCCGATAGTTAAAAACCATGCTGATAGGATTCTTGCTCGGCTACCCACGGAGGAGCTATTGGAATCTAAGGACCCAGACTCAATACTGTTTAGAAGGGGACTTCTTGGATGGGAATCTGATCCCGAGTAACGGTGTCGTTGTGTGGAGTACGATCTGTCCAGTCAGAGTTAGGGGTGATAAGTTTCCGTTGGACCCCCCCAGGAGGATTTCTCTGAATGCCCAGCGCTCTGAATCCCGAGAGCTGCCTAGGGGACTGCCTGGCTGACTTGGAGAGCTCGTCCCCTCTGGAAAGGAACTTAACTGCTCCTCTTTGGATCCTTCTGTTCTTATTGTAGCCCTGGCTGCCTGGAATTAGGAGGAACTCCGAGAAAATGATGGAGCCTTTGACAGCCTGGAAGAACGAGTCAAGGCTGCGCAGCCATTCCGGGCATAGCCTTAGCAGCTGGTGTCATCTCTTTACACAGTGTCTTCTGTTTTGTGTTCTCACCACTCAGGGCTTCCTCCATCAGGCAGCTGGCAGGACCTGAAGGATCACATGCGCGAAGCTGGTGATGTATGTTATGCAGATGTTCAGAAAGATGGAATGGGGGTGGTTGAGTTTCTCCGCAAGGAAGACATGGAATATGCACTGCGTAAACTGGATGACACCAAATTCCGCTCTCATGAGGTGGGTTTCTGCCTGTGGGTGAAGAGCATGTGTGCGTGCCAGTCATGGAGGAACATGCCTTAGCCTGTTTTGAAGCCACTCAAGAGGCTCCAGGGCACACTCTAGCAGTAGAGCCGCTGTTTTTGGCTAAATGGCAATCCTTGTAGCATGTTAGGAGTCCAGTTTGCCAGCTGTCAAAGCTTTGCGAAACCTGCCCCATGGTGGTGTGGTGTGTGTGTGAGCCTTGACAGCCAAGAGGCCTTGGGATGACTCACCTCCAGCTCCCGGGCAAGTCAAGTTGACCCGCTTTATCGTGTTCCCTCGTGCCAGCCAACAGCTGAACAGAGGTGGCTACTGGCGGTCCATCTGAATAAGCTTTAGCTCAGTCTGGTCTTGGTGGCCAGAGGTTCTATCGGCATGTTACAGTGTGACTCCCCAGAGGAACCAATGAGTGACTGTAGCAGTTACTCTCTAGTAATCTTCTCCATCCGTGCATGAGAACCTCTTCCTATGCTGGTCCAGTTTTGGGTTTTTTCCCTCCCCTCCAGTCTTGGGGCACTGCAACCACCTTCTTCCAATGGCTGGCTTGATCTGCTCCAGTCGCCCACCCCCTTCTGTCACAGCTGGAAGGTGCTTGCTGAGGACTCTCACTCCACAACCTGAGCTGCTGAGACACCATTAAATTAAGTTGGTGAGAGAGGTCACCAAGTCGTCTCGTAACTATGCTTGGAAGACTGTGCTAGCGTACGTCTCTTTCCTTTTGATGGTAAAGACTTGGAATACTGACATCTTCACCCTTCTCTTAGTTACATGGGGACAGAAGTTGACCTATGTTTACCTTAATAATGTCTGCACCACCAAAATAAATAAATACAGGAGGTATCCTGTAACCTGCCTACCATCTGTAGACCTCAAAGGCCAGGCCAGAGCTAGCCCAAGGCAGCACTAGAAGGATGCATACCACCTGTGTATGAACACGCCAGACTTGAGCCACTTGTGCGTGGGTTGCTGACCTCCATTTTTTATTTTTATTTTTTGGCATTAATTCATTCATTCATAACTTTACCCGCAGGATGTTATGCCAATGTTTGGGTTTTCTCTGTTTTCAATTCCAGGGTGAAACATCTTATATCAGAGTTTGTCCTGAAAGAAGCATCAGCTATGGCTACTCGCGCTCCCGTTCGGGTTCAAGGAGTCGCGATTCTCCATACCAAAGCAGAGGATCACCTCGCTACTCCTCTCCGTTCAGGCCGTTCTGATTTACCCAACAGGGACTTTTAAAAATGTGAACTGGGCTCTCGATTTCTGCTCAGTGTTTACATTCCAGAATGGATGGATATAGGTCTTTCCTGGGAAGCTTTGTGTTTTTTTTTCCTTTCTATCCAATAAAACCTTTTTTTAATGACTTACAGTTTTTACTAGGGAAGTGTTGGTAATGAAGTACTATGAACCATTGCCACTTAAAAACGTTTTTGTTTGGAAATGTAAGTTTTTGTTTTGCCTTCTAAACGAGGGGGAGGAGAGCTTGAGAATTTGTGTGTGTTAATGGTTTGTCTACAGGATGGCGCTTTAAAACAGTGGAACAACGTGTATAGCTCAGCCTGTTTTGATGTCTGCAAATATACTTAAATGTTTCTGTAACTCACACGTGGGTGGCTGTCTTTTTGTGCATTGAGACCGGGGAAGGTGTGGTGTGAACGGCTGAGCCTGGATATTAAAAGTCCTTGCTATTCTTGGGTTAAAGAAGGTTTGCTTATGAAAACATCAATGAAACATTTAAACTGTTCTTCTAAAGGCCCAGTAGAATCCTTTACAGGCCATCCATTACACATAATTGTGTTGGGTTCTTCATAAAATTTCATTAAAAATATGCAAGAAAGGCTTGACAGCAGGATTTTTGGGGGGACTGTAGCAGGAGGAAGGGACAGTCTCCCCTGATGAATGAAGTAGGTCCTTAGCAAAGAGACAATATCCTTTGGCACTTTTCACCTGCTGCAAATTGTGTCCACTTCAAATGTTTCTTAAAACTTTATTAGAAGTATCTTCACTGCATGACCCTTAAAATAAAATCGAATTCAATGGTTCTGGTCTATAGTAAATTTATAAAATTAAGGATTTTTATTTGACGCCTGTGGGGAAGTTCTGTCCCCTTACTTTCCCCATCCTTTCGCACGTGCCCCGGTAACAGGTGGCTTCGAAAGAAAGGTAAGGGTAGCAGATTACAGAAGTTAAGAGAAATTGCTCACAGCTTATGCAGTGATGTAGTCAAATACTGGCCCTTCGCATGAACTCATTGAAGTTTTAGTTCAAATTAACACCTGCATTTTGCCCCACATCTTGCCCTGAATTAGTAACGTACTGTAACTGGGTGTATACAAAAATAAGTTTTGCTGTATCGTATTAAGGGTGCAATTTTAGGCATATTTACACAGAAGTGAATGGCAGTGAGGTGAATTGGGCTTCTGTACTAGCATCTAGTAAGGAAGGCTTGGACATATTAGACATAAACACAGAAGTTTTTTTTTTAAGTGTTGGGGGGAAATTTGAACTCCACAAGTCTGTTTAGTTTGGCAGCATCCAAAAACTAAATTTCTGTTCTGATATATAAATTAATATGCCCAATTAAAAATCAGAACCACCGTTTATTTCAAAGAGGCAGCTGTGTTGGTCTGAGCAAGCCTATCAATACAAAAAAAAAAAGAAACAAACAGAAAAAGCAAGCGAGACCAACCCCCCCCCCCAAAAAAAAACCACTACGTGGCCCCTTAAAGACGAACTGCTATACAGTATTTTAATGTGAGCTTTCGGGGATCTAGTCCACCTTGGCCAACATAAAACCAACACTACAACTGACGGATGTACGTGTGGCTCCATGACCAGGCAAGGAGACAGATACCCAACAAAGTGACCACGATTCTTTATTAAAAGGATAGGCCACCAGGCTGTGTATAACTGGGTTGATCGATCCTCAGTCCTGGATATCAAAATCAATCCTAGTACTAATTGCAATCAAGGCTTCTTAAGTCATTAATCATAAAAATCCTACAGTGGTTCCCACAATTCACTGCTTCTGCCAACAATGCCATTCTTAACTTGCAGGCGGGCAAGTGAAATTATTCACTGCCCGACAGCCAGTTCCTTTACTAAATGAACTACTGTCACTTTGTCCATTATCTGTATCCCAACTTGGTCATGGAGTTGCACATAAATATGAGTCACATAAGTTTTACATTGCAGGAAGTGGACATGCTCTCCAAAAGCCATATTTAAATAGGACAGTCTCGATGTTCAGCTCTTGTTTTTTTGTCTAATATGTTTGGTATTGGTCCAGAGGACATGGCTAGGTTTTTTTTTTCATGCAGAGCCACATACCATTTGTTTCAATGATCCAGTTTTCAACCATTTTATAGTATATTTTGCATATCTCTAATAAGCCATGTGTATCATGAAATAACAGCGTGAAAGCAGCATATAAATTTCAAAAGCATATGGTGTACTTATCAGGAAGACAGACTTCATCATTTTCAGTGAACTGCCATGTTTTGTACCCTTCTCAAAAGTTTGGTATATAAAACAGCTTGACTCCTTGACTTGACATTTATTAATCTGCAAAGTGCTACTGACTTTTCCCTCTCTCTCTCACACACACACACACACACACATACAAATCTGAAAGGGGATGGGACGCAGTGTACATTTTAAAGTAAAGTTTATGCATATGTTTGTGTAGCACCTAGTATTTTGGGGGGGTCTGAAAGTGTTCGCTGAGGTATGTTAGGGTTCCTCCTTTTTGAAAAATCTCTGTGTCAAGAGACATGAGACAATGTTTCACGTCCTAAATACTCCTCTATCAACCAAGGCCAGGAGAGCTTGCTCTCTGCAGTTACATCATTCCGCTTCTCAGAACACAAAGTATGTAGTCTTGTCTCTTCTAGGTTACAGTTTGGATGTCTTAATGGGGCAGAGCTTGAATGCCCTTGTGTTTTACTCTTCCATACAGTTTTCCCACAGTCGTGTTTTGGAAGCGTTTTGGCTGCGACACGTCCCTTCTCAGCTTTTCCATTTTCCCAGACCACAGTTTGTTCCTTCCTATGGTTAAAACGTTTCAGCCACAGTCAGACGCAGCGTAGGTGCCTTGAACTCACAGACAGGATAAGTTACTTTTGTGGATTACAGTTCCCCAAATGCATGTCCCCGAATGCACAGGTGGCAGAACAGACTGAGAACGGTACTTTAAGGAACAGTGTTTTCTGTCTCCGATGCAAGCTCAACTTAAGCCACAAGGGCTTAAGTACAGTGAACTCCAGCCGTTGTTTCACAATGAGAGCTGAAGCTATGCAAGTGACGCGGTGGTTTCATCCTAGATGCAACTGCATGCCTAGAGTCCAGTGACTAAAGAAGTCAAGTCTGGGCACATCATCCGTCTAGGGTTCTTCCTTCTTGAGAAAACTCTCTCTCTCTTCCAGTTTTGGTAAAGGGATGTTACCTAATGCAAACAATAAAACCCGTCTGGGATTAAAAGACCTACTGGAGCCAGTCCAGCATAACCGGGAGGAGGGAGGGGAACCTATGATGGTATGATCAGAATGGAAATTTTTGGGTCTTTCAGATGTTCTGACCCACATCTTGCCTTTGACCCACCCCGCACGAGCAACTGTGGAAGCTTTAGTCCAGAACCTCTAGACAGTCACAGCTTTCCTACCACTGTGGCTGGGTGGGGGGGCAATTCCTAGTAAATGCTCACAGACCACCTTCATGGAAGAGGAGGCCATACATAGTTGCTACTTAGGATACCTATAGATTCCCTGTAAGATCAAAGTTCCTATGCCTCTCAGTGTAACCACTGAGGGCGGCTTAAGCAGGAGGGGGCTTGCTGCCAGTCTGTGAACATGATGCTTGGCCCAGTAGGTGTTTGATTTGATCTCACAATAGAGCTGTTCTTAATGAAGTTTTAGAAGAGGTAGCTGGGTTAGTCTGTGCCACCATATCAGGCAAAAGAAAAAGACAAAAACGTGACACCTTTGAAGACTAACTGCTGTATTTTTAATGGGAGCTTTCGTGGACAAGGCCACTTCCTCAGGCCTGAGAAAGTTCTTAGAAAGCTCTTAACTTTCTGATGGCCAGCAGTATAGCTCTAATACCCTGTGTAACTCATTATTCCCGTTCACATCTAGCAAAATCACAATTGCGCAGTTCAGCAGCAGTTTACAGAGGCTTACTGAGTTTTAGCCCGGCTGCAAAAGTCCGGGTTGCTCTGACATCCTTATTTTTCTTAGTGCACATGTTTCCTTACTCTCCCCACCGCAAGGACACTAGCTGAACTGTTAGGTTGTAGTCCATGAGTTCTGAAAAAAGTTAAGAAGTAACATTTTAAAAGCTCCTCTTTCACACACGTGCGGACACCTGGATAAGAGTTGTGGAACTTTCAGGCAAGGCCTTTATGCAAAAGGCAAGATGTTACCTGGTGGAGCCATGAAGTAGTCTTCAACGGTGAGCTTAGCTGCCTTCAGGAGCTCCTCTGCACAGTTCCCTTCTGTAATGTTATCCTCCCTGAGGTACAGGTGCCTGGGGGGAACAACACTTGAATCACGGCCAAAGAGCCCGAAAAACCCACAACAACCAACACTTGAATCAACTCTCTCAATGGCTTCTGCAGAATCAAACCCCGTATTGTTTCCTGGTCAAAGATCAAGTTGTAGCCCTGATCCCACAAGGCTAGAATGAGTTACGTTACAGAGTTCCTACAAGAGCTTTTTAGTTGCCCTCCAATCCCATCATCCTCCATTCAGGGGGAACTAGTGCGTCTGGTGCAGCTTTCCTTCCCTGTTGGTTACCACCTAATACTTTGTTTTTGGGAGACTAGTTCAAATTACGCATCCTATGGCCACAGACGTTTTAAAACAATACAGAGAAATCCGTACCACTTTCATAAGCATCCAAGCTCTTGATAGAGAAATGCTCAGCAAGAAAGAGGATGCCCTCCCGCTTCAGAATCCGAGCCAGAGCAGCAGTGAATACAGGGAATCACTTCGACCATCATGACTAGCAGATGTCTACAGCATTCTCAATACTTCCTGAATCTTTTAGGCCCCTAGTCCTCACTACATGAATAGAAGTGCCAGTGAACCTTACATAGAAGAAATCCTGAAAAAGATTTCACTATTAACAATAGCAGCCACCACAGCATCTGTCGGTGAAGATGGACATTTTCAACCCATTACAGCACAAGAACGGGTTTGAATTTTATAACTCAGTGTCAGCAGCATTCCGAGTACTGAATGAATGCTGCTCACCTAATTATAAAGAAGACAGACATGTGCTGGATAACAGATTCACAGAACTCAGATTTGAAAAGATCCCAAGGTCAAGCCCAGGACAAGAATCCACAGCGAAAGCGCACCAGATGGTATTCGGTGAAGGAGAATCTACTACCATCTATGAGAGTCCCTTTTGCTGCGGAACAGCTCCTGCTATCGGAAAGTTCCTCCTTGTGTTTAGTCAGAATCTCCTTTCAGTGCAACTTAAATCTCAATAGAGTCTAAATATGAGAGATTCTTATGTTCTTGTATTCTTATCAGCAGCACGCTTTGCTTATGTCTAAAAATAAAATAAAAATTCTTAAGGGTTGCATGGTTCTGTATAATGATGTGCTGACAATTTGTTTCAAGGGTAACAAATTGCAGCCGTTGTTTGTAGCTATACATTTCCTGCACAGCTAAATAATAATCTTAGAACTGCAGAGCTGGAAGGGACCCTAGGGATCATCTACTCCAACCTGTCAAGGAGGCCCAGTGGGGAATCGAGCTCCCAACTTCTGGCTCTGTAGCCAGACATAAACCACTGGGTGATCCAGCCAGCTAATAATCTTAGAATTGCCAGAAACCTAAAACAGTCAGCTATCCAATGGTAAAAAAAATAAATCTTGCTGGTAAACCTTCAAATCAACACCTGCCTATATGATGCACTTCCAGTGTTAAACATAAAGAACACCAGTAGATTTTGTGGAACCCTCCCCTAGGTCCATCGGTGTAATGAGAATTAGGTCGTATCTCCTTCCTGAAATACTGTGCAGCCTTTAGTAACTACAGAGAAGCCTATGTAGAAGAAGAAACAAGCAATATCATTCTAAGCAGGGAATGAATATACATATCAGTATACATTTTGATAGGAAATATGCGTTCCTGTTAGTTACCTGTCTTCTAATACTGAATCCATGGGCTCTATCCCATCTGTTGGAACAGAGTGAAGCTGGTCAGCGAATTCAATTGCTTTCTCCAGACGCTCCACGCCCTCCCAGTTGCGGAAATCAACAAGGGCCAGGTGCTCCAAACGATCCAGCAGTTCCAAAGTTACTTTTTTCTTGAGAAAGAGACAAAACAAAGGCAGATAAGAATTAATAAGAATGAAATAAAGAGGGATTCAATGAATGAACGAATAAATAATTAAATATTAAAAATAAGAAACAAATCAATAAGAAGTGGGGTGTTCCTTCTTTGTCCCCAAGTCGTGCCTCGGCCCCAAACCCCTTTGGGCTTTTAGGGTAAGCTCCTTGGGGCAGAGAGCTGCCCCTTCTGAACTTCTGAGGCGGGTTAAGGGAGCACTCTGCCTATGCTCAGAGGCACCCTTCCCCCCTG